CACGACGCTGATATCAATCTCATCTAAGTCCAAGTAAGATTGATCAATCACAGTACGACATACCTCATTATCAAGTTTCTGCCTAAAAGGAATTACCAAAAGTATCAGGGTTCATTCAGTTTTCAATCTAAGAGCATCTAGTTTTCGGAACCTTCGGAAAAGGCAAGATGTAAGAAAACCCTTGGCCACATTAGGAATATTCCCTACTCTTAACCAATCCAAGAAAAGTGCGATACTAATTCAGAACACCAGTATTCTAGTTCCAAATAAGTATAAAAGCATCTCCTAACAATGTCCCACATAAAGTTTGATAAGGTTACTCCCTTTAAAGAATATTTCAAAGATAGCATTTGGAATTTTTCAAATAATCCAAATCCTAGTTTAGATATCCAAGGGCGCGAAAAAAGAAAAGAAAAACATTGGAATCCAATCCTAAAGTAGTAGTCAGTATTTATAAAATAGAAACAAGCTATAAATGTTCATCCCAAACGAAAACAATCATACATTCCAAATCACAATCATAGTAAGCATATCTAGAAGATCAATTTTCTGCTATAAACAAACACACGTCATTCTAAAAGCTCAACAACTTGCTATTAAATGTGAGTTAGTAAATAAACTAAAAAACCTACCACTGAAATGATCCAATCCAACTTTCTTATGCTGCTTATACTCGAAGCCGCTTGACCGCGCCTTCCCCCGCTTACCGGATGAGAATTCACCCGACGGCGGAGCAGAAGACGAGATGGGCATTGGAGATAATGCCATAGTGACCGTACCATCTGGTCCATACTTCCTGGGCCTACCCCTTTTCTTCTTCCCAGTGTTTGCAGCCAATCCTGCACTCACCGGAGAGGGAGTAATCGGATCACCTCCCGCGGGCTGGCCCGGGTTTTCCATCCTGGGAGCCACATGATAAGCCGATGGAGCCTCAGCTCCTATCACTGTCACTCCTGAACTAATACCTTCTCTTGAGTCCATACATAAAACAAACCAACAACTTCACAAAAACAACACAGCAACTAGCATCTGCAACATTAAAAACAACAAAACACCCAAAAACAAAAGATTTAGATAACATGGAAGTAACAGAATAATGATTTATAAGCCTTGAAAGACAAAAGGCTTTCTGCGAAAGCAATCTGCTTTTCACATCCTTTTCAACCTTAGAAGATCAAAGCAAGCTAACCCAGATACAAAAATCCAAATGTTCTAGTAATAATATCACAAAGTAGAATTTCATAAATCATAAAACACTGTTATTTTGAATTAGCCCAAACATGTTATCAACATTATATAACCTGGGGGGGAGGGGGAAAGGTCTCTTTGTGGGTAAAAAATGAAGTAACCAACTTTTTTACAAGTATTTGAACTCTAAACCAAAAATAAAACTTGAGAACTAAAAATTAGAAAACTTATGCTTAAAAGCTAAATTTTGTTATAATAAAAAAAAATCTAGAGATCAAAACTGCTAAATATACCCAACCTTCTAGAATAAAGAACAGAAAGGCCAAGTTTTTCAATGGAAAAAACAAGACAGTTTCAGAGAAAAGAAAAGGAAAAAAAAAAAAAAGGTGAAGCGCAGCTTTTACCAGGTTTATCAAGATCAAAACCTCTCACTTAAAACTCAAAAAATAAAAAATAAAAATAAATAAAACACAGAAGTTTTAAATAGACAATAAACATTTAAGCCTAAAAAAAACTAAAAAATGAAATGATCCACAGAGAAAATTTAAAGAACATAACCTGTGACTGTGACTGTCACTCTCCAGTATAACTCTAAACCTGTCTGAGCTTTACTTTTCACAGTGTCCGAGCTCAACAAACACTACTAAACACAAACTAAACGAAAAAGAAAATAACAAAGAAAAAATAACCGTTTGTTTCCTGAGAAAATGAAAGCGAGAAAAATGGGATTTTTTTTTCTTTTTCTTTTCTTTTCTTTTCTTTCTCTCTCTTTTATATATTTGTAGTTTCAAGAAGAAGACCACTAGCCGGTTTTTCCAAAGCTGTCTGAAAACAGAGACTAGAGAGAGAGAGGAAAGAGAAATTGAATTGAAAATATAAAAGGAAAAGGATTTGGAAAAAATAACGTAAAAAGCCTAACTTGAATATTTCACCAAATAATATTAAATTATTTACTAAACCCAATAAATAAAATTTGGTTAAGAAAAAATTTCACGTCCGTGAGAAAAATTTTGAAATTAAAAGGGTGTAAGAAATGGTTAAAATGGTAAATTTGACTACAGATAAAGAGAAAAAAAAATAGTAAATGACTTTTTTTTTCGAATTTATTAATTTGTTTTGCTATTTAAAGCTGCAAAGGTATTTGGCATGCTATAGAGCCGGTCCTTTTTGTTGCCGCTGACCTGCTTTTTGTCTTTTTCTGGACAAAAGAGAGGACATGAATTTCCGAATATGCCCTCTTTAAAAAAAGCTTGTGTGTGTTAGGTTTGATGGTGAGGGTTTACGTCACCTGCAGGTGAGGGTGGGAGATCCGATTTGTTGGAATCTGATTGGATACGCCTCTGGGTGGCACGTGCGAATGAAGGATCTTAGTTCTGCACTGTTCCTGAGAGAAAATACCTTTTAACACGTGTCAGCCCATGGCTTTACCTTGTACCAAGGGATATTACTATTACCAAGTAATTATTATATGTTGTTCTTATCAGGATTTAGTATTCGTTCAAAAAAAAAAAAAGGATTTAGTATTCTGAAAAGGCTTTTTTTAAAATATATATTGACAGTTTTTCTTTTTTTTGTTGCTAATATATATTAACACAAGTCACTCGAAACTCGATTATTAACATTGTGTTTCTTTAATTCTAATAAATTAATCTCTAAACTTTAATTTTAACATCTTTAATCTCTTGTACGGTCCCGTTCATTTCACCGATTTGAATTTAAAATTCGAGTTTTACTATAGTAAAAAGCTCTTAGAAACAGTCACATCTAACTTTTTTGTTACAGTAAAAAACTCTCACATAAAGTCACATCTCAATTCGAATTAAAAACTCAAATTAACGAACTAAACGGGTCCAACTGACAAATTTTCTTGAAATTTTTAAGAGATAATCACTAACTGATATTTTTACAGAAATAGTTATATATCAAATGAAATTTTTGTAGAAATAGCTCTTATCAAATGCAAAATATTCAAGTTTTTAAGAGTTTTAATAACAATCATGAGTGTATTTTGCATTTGATGTAATTAATTATGTTAAAATTTTAATTATACGTAGCAAAGATGTGAATTATATCTATTAAAGTTAGAAATCAATTGTTAATTTTGGTTATAGCGACCAAAGCGGTTAAAAGAACTAAACAGATTAATTTTTTAAGATTAAGGCCTCATTCATTTTGTGGATTCGAGTTTTCAATTCGAGTTGAGATGTGATATTTTCTGAAAACTTTTAACTGTAACAGAAAAAATTAGATGTGACATTTTCTAAGAGAACTTTTAACTGTAAAAATTTAAAACTAAAAACTTGAATCAGTAAAATGAACGAGGCATACAAGTTAAGCGATACAATGCTCATAATTTAAAGATAGAGAGTACTTATAAAAAAAGTTTATTTCTTAGGAAAAAAATAAAGAGTTTATTTGACACTTTAAGGCCTCGTTCACTTCACTTATTCAAGTTTTGCTACAGTAAAAAGCTCTCAGAAACAGTCACATCTAACTTTTTTGCTACAGTAAAAAGCTCTCACATAAAATCACATCTCAACTCAAATTAAAAACTCGAATCAGTAAACTAAACGGGCCCTAAGACATGTCCGCATGGTTTGATGCATAATTATCGCTACACTGGAATAAAAAAATGTCAAGTTGTCACTGCAAAATCTAGATGTATTTCTCGGCATATTAATAAATACTATTTTAAATGTGATTGTGCTGTTTTGACGAAAAGGAACTCTAAAATATTTTGAGAAGATAAACTTGTATGAGCATATCTAGTCTAGTAAGTAAAATCTATGTATTTCTTCTTTATTTAAAAAAGTTGAATTGTTAGTGGTGTAGTGGTTGAGTAATGTTAGCTTCAATTTATGACTTTTGAATGAGCCAACACATGCGGCATGCCCTTGGTTTTCTTTCTTTTTCCTTTTTTTTTTTTTTTTTTTTCTTGCCCTTGGTTGTCCTGGGGATAAGATTTGGAAAGTTGCACTCTGGTGTCAAGTCGCTGCTTAGCAATATTTCTAAAAAAAAAAAAAAAAAAATTCCTAGTTCAACTTCCAACAAAAAAAAAGGACTTTCTCCGTTGTTTTTTTTTTTTTTTAAAACACTAATATTTTTTATTTTTCAGTAGTTAAATATATACTAAATTTTATTTATTCTATATACTTTTTTATTTAGTGTGATTTTAATTAAATCTATCTACTGAAAAGTAAGAAACGTCAGTGTTTTTAGAAATAAAAAAATATCAAAAGTCTCGTTCATTTTATCGATTTAAATTTAGAATTCGAGTTTTGTTACAGTAAAAAATTATCAGAAACAGTCACATCTAATTTTTTTGTTACAGTAAAAAATTTTCACATAAAATCACATCTCAATTTAAATTAAAAACTCGAATCAGTGAACTAAACGGACCAAAAAAAAAACTCCAAAAAAAAAAAAAAGAAAGAAAAAGGTTCCAAGTTAATGTTCCCTTTTTTTTTTTTTATGTATTTGAGAAACCCGAATACCCAACCTAAAAAAAAAAAAAAAAAAAGGAGGGGAGGAAGTCGTTTTTTTCTTTTATAAAAAAAGGATACTTTAGGGGGAAAAAAACCCTTAGCCGTTAAGTAAACATAAAAAAGAAGTGAAAAAAAAGTATCTCTCTCTTATCACGACAAGTGTATTTTGCACAGGTTATTATTATTTTTATCAAAATTTTCTCGAAGTATGAAATGGCTATTTACTTATGCGAGATAGTATATTTATATTTGTGTTCCAACAAACAAATTGCTATAATCGGAAATATTTGAAAACAGATCCAAGATCTAACTCCTCAAAATGGTGGACACAATTGCTAATTGTAACGAAGATGAACTACTGTATTATGTATACAAGGACATAACTCGTGACTAATTTAATTATACCTAAATGTATCATTATTATTATTATTATTATTATATTTAAAAGAGATAATAAACCAAATGTTTTGCGTAACACGTTATTATCTTTACCGCAGCTATAAATTCAAACAATCCTCTTCCATATTCCATCTACTTTCAATTATACGATTACAGCTAATAACCTTATAAAATATGGATAATGCAACGTTCTCAGTCAAAAAGTAAAGTCCCCAAAACCCACTACGCGATTCTTTTTTTCTTTTTTTTTTTTTATAGCTTTCTACAATAGGGATAGTATGTTTTTTTTAATGTAAATTTGAATAAAATCTTTACCAAAGTGAAAAGAATATATAAATTGATTAAATCTGATATAAATCTCAGGTTCAAAATAAATCAAAGTGTTTTTTTTACTCGACAATAGAATTGTCTTTTTTTCTATTTCTTCTGGAGAAATCTTTACTTTTTTGTTTCTTTTTTTTTTTATAGAAAGAAGATTTCTTTAGCAAGCACTGAAAAAATGAATTAATAAAAAATTACTGTTTTTAACTATTAAATTTGTATAAGAAATTATTTATTTATATATAATTTTAATTGGATCTAATGATCAAAATCCATCCCTTATCAATAAGGTGACCCTATTAAAAAAAAAAAGAATCTACACAAAACACATTTTATCTTTTGTTAGTGAATAAGCATTCAACACTTTTACAAATGTGTGGACTATAACTCAAAAAAGATTATAAATTTTTTTAAAAAAAAAAAGGAATTTCTCAGTTTTTAGCTGATAAATCTAAAAAAATAAATTATTAAAAATCTCAGTTATTAAATCTATATGAAAAATAATTTATTTTGTATATTTATTTAATTTAATATAATTTAAATTAAATTTAACGGTTAAGAATTAATTTAACCCCGCGAAATTTCCTTTAAAAAATGCGAAGGGACTAGAGCTTTGGGAGTTGTGCAATGAGAAGATGATGGTGGAGTGAGGCGGGCAAAGCATGGGGATAGTCCAGACACAAGCGGGTCCCTATAGAAACCGTTAAACTTGTCCGAGGTTGTGGTGTCTTTCAGACCGTCAGTTTCACATCACACAGACACCCTCGTGTTCCTGTTGTGCACATGTCAGTCAAACTTTTGGTCTCTCCTTTGACCAACAACCTTTTTCTTTTTCTATTATTAATACAAAATTAAACAATAACGGCTGATCAATCCAACGTTTTATTCTTCGTTTCTTCGTGTGAGCATTGTGATTTTAAAGGTCGTTAATTTAGGGATATTTGGTCGGAGAATTTAAATCATGATTTGAATTATAATTTATTATTTATTACAGTATTTTTTCTCATAAAAAATACACATAAATAAAAAATAATTCTAATCTATGAACCAAACGTCTCTTTAAATTTTTAATTTAAATTAAAATATTATAATAAAATTTAAATTAAAAATTCGAATCAATAAAAAATTTAAAAGGGTTAAAAATTACAGAATCTAACTTTTATACTAGTATGAAAATAATGGGTTGTTACGAATTGATATTTGGGTCCCACGTAATTATTATAGCTTACACTAAATACGAACATTTCTTTAGGCGGTGGAAGATTAACATGATGCAACTCCAAAACATTAGCTTTCGTTAGACGAGCATAGGAATTTAAATTATATTCTAGGGAAAATTTGAACTAATTTCATTCCTTTAAAAAAATTGAATTATTTTCATTTATAGTTTCTAAAATTTTGAGATATATTTCAGAAATTTTAGAATAGTTAAACCTCAAAAAATTAGTTGCATAAGTTAAAATGAAACAAGTGCATATCTAGAGAAACGGCTAGTGAAATAAAGAAAAAGTTTTTCTCAGGATTTTAAAAGAACAAAGCTCCCAATTTTCTCTAATATATAGTCATGTAATTATGTTCAGTGCATACAACTATAAGCCAAGAAATTATTGCTAATCATGAATTCTACTGAAAGAC